CACACACACACACACACACACACACACACTTTCTCTCTCTCCAGTTCATGTGCTATGTGGGGAAAATGGCAGTGGGGAAGAGCCAGGGAACACACACACACACACACACACACACACACACACACACACACACTTTCTCTCTCTCCAGTTCATGTGCTATGTGGGGAAAATGGCAGTGGGGAAGAGCCAGGGAACACAAGTAAGCCACCCCCTGCTAGAGAGAAGTTGTGATCCTTTTACCTTTCACACACAAATCCTACACAGGCCTGGTACAGTTCAATGGCTTCGCCCAGGGACTGAGCCCCTGCACCAATCTCAGCCAGCTGACTGGGCAGGTCCTTCACCAGGGCCAGAAGTTCTCTTCGGACATTGTCTCCCTAGAAAAGGGAGAAGGAAGGGGCTAGGGCAGACCTGGCAAGAGGTGGAGTCCAAAAAGTCAAAGGAATTACCCAAGGGAAACCACTGGGCTTGGGAATGTGGCTTAGTGTGATAGAGTGCTTGCCTAGCATGCACGAAGCCCTGGGTTTGATCCCTCATACACAGAAAAAGCAGGAAGTGGCTCTGTGACTCAGCTGGTAGAATGCTAGCCTTGAGCAAAAAGCAGCTCAGGGATAGTGCTCAGGCCAATTTCAAGCCCCAGGACTGGCAAAAATAAGTAAGTAAGTAGATAAATAAATATAAACAAAGGGGAGACACTGGCCCAAGAGGGATACAACCTGGCAGAGAAGTCAGAGAGCTGATAGTGAAGTCTTTGCCAGTAACAGAAGAGCCAGGCCCAGGAAGACAGCCCCAAGCCCAGGTGCCCTCCCACTGCAACAGAGGAACAAGGTACCACTCCCTTTAGCTGCACACCGTGATGCCATACTGCTTGCATGAGTGGTAGAACTGCTCCCGCATCTCAGCGGCCCCAGCCTGGCCCTCCTCCTCCTTGCGGCTGTATTCTTGCTGGAGCTGCTGGCACTTGGCGATCTGCTTCTTTAGTGAGGGGATCTCGTAGTTGACATTCCGAACCAAGAGGCTAGAGAGTTCCACTAAGGAGGACCCAGGAAATTCACCCCAGGATAGCCACACCCCCTAAGGCAAGCTGCCTGAGGATGCACCCAAAAATGCTCTAGAGTGGTGGTAAAGAGTGGGGTTTGTGCCCAGTCCCTCCCCTTCCTGGCTGAAGAACCTGAGACAAGTTACAAAGCCAGAACTCCAACCCTCAGCTGCAAAAACAAGGAATATTAACGTTGACCAAGTGGATCTACATAAAACACCAACCCATACCTCTTCTGCCTAGTATAGAATGGGGGTGGAAGGATGGTAGGAGCAATACACACTCCACCCCATCGGAGAGGGACAGGTCAAGTACCAGCTCAGTTAGGAACGCATTTGACCCTCCTTCACTCCCTTCTCAGAATCATTTTTCTCACAATCAGTCATCATCTACATCCTACTCTCCTCCCACAATAGACCATGCCTCCTGTAAGCCTGGTATCTCTGAACTCTGGGTGGGCTTCCCCATGGACACTGGCGTCACTTTACCTAGGTAGGTGTTGTCCTTCTCATACAGGGCTACAATCTCTTGCCAATCCTGAGTAGAACAGAAAGGGAAGTCAGCCAGGGAGAACACCCAGCAACAACCTCACAGATCAATCTCTAAACAGAGGACACTTCCCGCAGGCTTCCCATCACACCAAACACAAACTCCTAGCCTTCCTCTTTCTCCTGGGTGTGTGTATGCGTGTGCATGCGTGTACACACATACACATGCATCAATACTGGAACTTGAACTCAGGAGCCTCGCATTGTCACTTGGCTTTTTTACTCAAGGCTCTAACATTTGAGCCATAGATGGGACATCCAATTTTTGCTACCAAACTGGAAATAAGAGTCTCAGACTTTTTTTTTGGGTCCGGTTGTGGGGCCTGAACTCTGGGCCTGGGCGCTGTCCCTCAGCTTTTCAGTTCAAGGCTAGCGCTCTACCACTTGAGCCATAGCACCACTTCCGGCTTTTTTCTTTTTGCTTATGTGGTGCTGAGGAATCGAACCCAGGGCCTCAGGCATGCAAGGCAAGCGCTCTACCACTGAGCCACCT